AACTACATGGTTAAGTCACATGATTTCACTTAGGATTTAGTAGTTGATCTCAAATCCTTTTCCAGCACATTGCTGTGAATCCAAAGTGAAGGTGTGTAACTGAGGTGTTCTCCTTAGTGAACAAGATTTCTAACTCTGAGTTAGCAACTTTACTAACAGAGAGTATATGAGCGATTTCTGGGTTGTCTTGTTTATATTTTGCAGATCAATCTGTTTAATGCTTTTGATTAAATGAATTGAATGGAGAAATAGTTACAGTGTTTCTAAACAAAGTTTAGCTCTAGCAAAGTTCAAACAGATCCTGGAATTAAAAGTCTACAAAGTAAATGAACGGACAATACCTAGAAAGTACAAATATAAAATACTTTCAGATATACTGCTTTCCCCTTTAGTATTTTTTTTTTCTTAAATGTCTGTCAACCATCTGTTTTCTGAAGTGCTAGGACTGCTGATTAACACATATATGATGCAGGGGAAAAAAAAAAAAGAAAAAATTGCCTTTTCTAAAAATGCAGTTTTTGTGGGGTTTTTTTAAAGTTTTTTTTGTTCCTGGATATTATAAATAGTTTCTGTTCCAGGAAAGTGTAGTAGTTGCTTTAATATATTTTGTGTTGTGTTTTGTTATACAATGTTATTTGAATATTTCAGTAATAATATGTCATATTTAGACTCATCAGCTTCTGATGGAGACACAAGTATGTATCAAATATATTGTCTTAACTTTGTAATAATTTATTAACGCAACTCAGCATCTTTTGAACTCTGTGGTGTCAATCTTGACAAGTAGTAAGCACAGAGCTCTGAATGTTGAGAGTAGGCTAATTCTATGAGTTCTTGTGAATTTAGCTAACAGTAATTTCTAATGAGTAAATTTTTTTATATAAATACTTAGAAGATAAAGAATTATAACAGAATAATATTAATGGTTGTGCAGGCTAGTACAAGACCTGTGGGGGAACTAATTTCCACTCATACTCTATCAGATTTATTTCACTCATAGGAATTTGTACTGGTTCTCAGAACTGATTTTTATCCACACTACGTGGTTGATCGTACATCCCCTGCAATGTGTAGATCTCAAGAGTATTACTGTGTTTAAGAAGAAAATAGGAAAAATAGGTTGGGAGAGTGTATTTCTTAAAAAAAAAAATAAAAATATAAAAAATGCAGTGTTTTGAAGCTTATATTTCAAGCTTATACTTTAATATCTCAAATAAACTTGTTTCTTTCAAAATTTAGGTGAATGTATAAGATGATTAAAGACTGTGAACTCTTTGCTACTTATCTGCCTCTATACTTTTCATATAGTTGTTTGACCTGGTTTTAGGATGCTAAAAGTGTACTTTATGAACCTTTATGCTCCCTACTTAACAATTATTCCTTTGTCTCAATTATCTATGATTTTTTTTTTTTTTAATTCCCATAAGGAAATACACTATTTTCATTTCCTGTCATTCTCTTAATCCAATTCTCTTTCTGTCTTCACATTTTGGGTTTTTTTTAATAAATGTTTTCATGGACTATGTTATACTTACTGACAAAGAAGACGATCAAGAAAGTCCAGCATAAGAGGAGAGAAAAATTCTACCCAGGGAGTGAACACATGAAATGGCAAAGTGAAATGAAAAGAAATTCAGTCCGTTACACTCATCTGTACAAGGGGGTTTTGATAGAAAGACACCTATTTCTTCAGAATGAGAGGAATATTGTGGTGAGCAGGTGCCCTACTCAGCACTCAGACTGGTTTGGGGTGGAATAGGTTAGTTCCTAATACGAATATAGGCAGAGATCTTCAGTGACTGTTGTCTGGGCCAACAGCACTGAAATGAATGGACTTGCCTAATATAAATACGAAGTTCTTTGGATCCTACATACTTAAATAGTTTCACATATATAGTTATAACCAATATAACTTAAGCAATTTCCAGGGAACACAGTGTATACCCCAATGTCATGTTTCTGCCTGACGTTATTATGTATTATTTCAAATTTGATGAAAGCAGATGTGTCTATTTAATTACCTGTTTCAGTTCTTTGATGACTCTTTCAGATATAAAACATAATTATAATTTGGTTATATATAAAATTTATAAATTTACAGTATTTACCATCCATTTATGTTCTTAAAAATTACCAAGTAATTACAGAATTACTGCTTCCCCCCCCCTCCCAAAGCTGAACAATCCCCAGAACTTTTATCACTTCAAACTTATGATTATGTATTTGTCTTCATATTGTGCATCCAGAGATTGTTCTACTTGTTGTCTTGTACATACATACCTATTGCTGTTACATCTCTGGTAATGATAAATACTTTAATTAATAGTGCAAATGGAACATGTGCTTAAGCACAGGAGTCTCTAATCAAAAGGGCTTTTTTCTAAACCTACTTTAGACCATCTCTTCCTGTCTCACCATTTTAGATAGCTTGAACATAAACATTTTCTTCTAACAGTAGCATGCTCAGAATGATTACACACATAATTTTTTTTCTTTTCCTAGAGCTGTGGTGTGTATTCTGAGTATTTTACTACAGCATTTAAAAGACAGCTAGGTTATTTGGCTTTTTATAACTTCCGAAAATAAATTGCTGGTTGCTATCTTTCTCGGGGCTCTATCTGACAACATAAATATACTCCAAAACAAATATGACTACAATTCCAGTGTCCATAATATAATAATTTTTTTTACATATCTTAAAACCATTATTTTTTCCTGAAATGTGGATTTTTTTAATATTATATTGCCTTTGTGATATAGTATTTTGTAAAATCTAATAGTCTCATTCCAAAGTTTCTTCTTTTTTTTTTTCAATTTAACAAGCAACTCAGAATGCATTATACTATGTCAAAATTTCATAGTCCTTTCTTAGACAAAACTGTCCTTGACTGAAATTATTATCTCCTGAAGAGAGGACTGTTGGTATATATATATTAAAGCAAACAAACAAACCCTCCAAAAAAAAACAAAAAACGATATAAAGATTTTCTTTCTAATACTTAACAATTATAATATTTAGTTAATACGCCTTACATCAAATACAGTTTTTCAGATAGATGATTACAGGTTGTTTTTCTGGAATCAGATTTATGGCTGCCTTACATCTCAGACAGATCAGGTCCAGCTGGAATCCAGTTACCAATTTCAATGGGAGCTGTTCATAAAGTTTTACCTGCCTTCAGGTTTAATTCAAGAAACATTCCCAAAAAGAACCCATAGTTATGTTTGGGCAGTATTTAACTTTTCCTGAATTATGAATTAAGTGCTTACATTTTATGCTACATTTGTTTCTCAGTTGTAAAAAAAAAAAACCCCAAAACCCCCAAAAAACCCCAAAACAAAAACAACACAAAAAACCAACCCAAACTTCAAATCTGACTAGAATTTGTACCAGTTTTCTGTCTTATTCATCTGGAGTTTAAGGGGCCTTGCATCAGTAATTCATTCAAAAACCAAACGATAATTCAATTTTCAAAAATATTTACAGTAAGAACTGTTGACTGTGCTAGCTTTGTCAGCTGAATCCCACATAAAGGTAGGAAATGCAGTTGTTGTGCATGTAAATGCAGGTTTTTGCTTATGCAAGGACTGCATGCATATTTTGCCTGACTAGCCTGTTGGTTGAGATTTTAATTCACCCAAATATTTGAAAACTTAACTTGCGATGTTCAATCCATTCACTGACATCCATTTTTCAGGAAATAATAATTCTTTCTGGGGAGAGAGGAATTACTTTGTTGGGAACAACACAGGGATCAAGGCTGGATAGATCATATACAATTAGTTATAAAGAAAGTCATGCAGTTAACTTG